AGTATTTTAGCACAGACGTGTCGGACAAGTACTATTGTGTCTAAATAAATTTTGAAGAAATGTCAGAAAATGTGATGTTGTGATCAAATTTATATTCTTCCTATAATTTTCATAATTTAATTTAATGTCGATATTCCTTTATATTAAGAAAGATTTGAAATTGTAAGAATACATATATTTTTACTTAGTTTTATAAACATTTATATTGAATAGCGTTTATATTGAATATGTCACTTATAATCAATAATTAAAACAGTATTCATTCTTATTTATATAGTTTAATATACATTTCAGGTCAAATATATTTTAGAAAATGGCAAATCCTCCTCCAAATGTTGGTCAGTCGTATTTTTGGAATTCAGGAGTTTCTCAGCCACAAAATATGGGATATTATCCTGTTCCACCCCCAAATTTTCCACCTCCAAATTTTAGACAACCACCACCTTCGTACAATATGCCTGTTTCTACTTTGCCTGAAAATAAAGGTGGAAATTTTCCACCATATCATTCTATGGGAACATGCTATCAAAATGAAGTCTCAAATTCTTATCACAATGTTTCTTATCAAACTCAAACAGAACTGCAATATAATAATCAAAATTATGCATTGTCTAACTATTCTCAGTCTGTAAATGGGAACTTTAACACAAATTGGGACGATAGAAACACGTATCACAACAATGATAATGCAGAGTGGAAGTTTAATAATTATTCATCTGATTGGTATAAATCACAAGATAACAAGAGTTCTTGGTACGAAACAAATAAAGTGCAAGAAGATGACAGAAAGTCATTATATGTAAAATATAATAATTCCCCCAAAAATAGAAACTTTGAATGGAGATATAAAGATAAAGAACCTTCCAATAGTCATTCATTTATTAAGAAACGTTCCAGGAGTCCTGAGAATAGATCAAGAGAGAGATCAAGTAAATCACCATATAGATCAAGACATGATTCTCAGAGAGATAGATATTCAAAATATATAAAAAATAGGTCGGTTTCTAGAGAGCGTTTACACTGTGAAGAAGATTTTGATAGGAGGTCATTATACAGAAAAAATAATTTATATGCATCACGTTCTCAAAGATCATATACAAGTTACAGAAGTAGGAAGAGATCCAGGTCTCAAGAGTCTTACTCATCTAGAACTACTAGTCCAAATAATCCTCCTGTTAACAGGGACAGAACTGAGAGAGAATTACTTCTAGAAAAATATAGGTAGTGTATATTTTTGAAAATTATATACATATTTCTTTTTAAGATTTAAATTCTATTTTATGTTCTATTTTATTTGTTCAAGGCAAGATTATTGTGCAACAAGCAAAGATATGGAAAGGAAAATGGATGAATTATCTGCAATGGGACCTGAAGGTATCATGGAAAATGCAAGAAAGGTATGGACACGTACTGCACCAGCAGATTTATATTATAGTAGAGATGACAACAATCCAAAAATAATGAATGGTACACTTAAATTGCACGAGTTATGTGAATTATTCAAGAAAGTATTATTGAATAGAGCTGCAGCTGCAAGAGCTTTACAGGTATGTTTTCTTCAATTGTTAGAATAGTTTTTATACATTTAAAAATATTTTTCATTGTTTACTACGTAGCCTCCTTATGAACCACCTCCAAGAAAGACTAGAGCTCGTTTGTGTAGGCACAAGTCTGAAGCTTGTAGTAGTTCTTCTTCTGACAGTGATAGTTCAATGGATGAAGATGATAGAACAATGGAAGAATTAATGGCAAAAAAGCAACATCCACAAAGATTACATCCTGAAATGTGGTTTAATGATCCTGGAGAGGTAAATATTCTTCTTTTTAAGCATTTTATAATGTCGCATGTAAGCAATATAAATAAAAATATTTTATTTATAGAAAAATATTTTATTTATAGATGAACGATGGACCACTGTGTAGATGTAGTGCAAAATCAAGGAGGTCTGGTATTAGACATGGAATTTATGCTGGGGAGGGTGCAATAAATAAATGTGATTTAAATTCAAATAATGCTGATAAATTATATCATTATCGAATAACAATTAGCCCTCCAACGAATTTTCTTACTAAAACACCAACGATTATTAAGCACGATGAACATGAATTTATATTTGAAGGATTCTCTATGCTCTCACATTTTCCTCTTGTAAAATTGCCAACTTGTAAAGTAATAAGATTTAACATTGAGTACACAATTCTCTACATAGATGAAAAGTTACCAGAAAATTTTATAATTCAAGAATTAGACTATTTCCGTAAGTTTTTTTTTTTACTATATTTAGTTTATAATTTGCTATATTTTGTACTTATATATCCTTTTTTGTTTTCAGAAACATATTTGTTTAAGGAAATATTGGAACTTATAGATTTTGATTTACAAGCCGCGCAAAATAAATCTGGTTGTGGTCAATTTCATTTTATGCCAAGATTTGTTCGTGACTTAGCCGATAATGGGCAAGAAATATTATCCATGAATGAAGTTTTAAATTATTTAATTAAAAGTAGTAAATTATTAATAGAGCCAGATGATCTACCTAGGTTGGTGGAAATGCCCCAATATAAATGGCAAAATTTTGCTGACGAAGTAAAGGGTATGATTGTTACATATCCTGGAAAGAAACCATGTAGTGTTCGCGTAGATCAATTAGATAGAAATCAAACAGATCAGCCGCCTGGTGTAATTGCATATCCTGAAATTGTACATTTTGGAATTAGACCACCACAACTTAGTTATGCAGGAAATGCAGAGTAAGTATTGAAATGATTTCTTTGCGGAAAAGCAATACTCAATTATTCTTATTTATTTTAGTTATCAAAAAGCATGGAGAGATTACGTAAAATTTCGTCATTTATTAGCTAACATGCCAAAACCATCATTCGAAGATAAAAGAAAGTTAGAAGCAAAAGAAAATAAGCTTCAGGAGTTGAGAACGCAAAGCAAAATGAAACGTGATGTTACTGTTGATGTTAGTTCTGAAGGATTTTATAGAACTGGAATAATGTGCGATATAGTGCAACATGCAATGTTAATTCCAGTACTTGTTTGCCATTTGAGATTTCACAAATCTTTAGACAACCTAGAACGTACATTAGGCTATGAATTTAAAAACAGATATCTTCTTCAATTAGCTTTAACACATCCTAGTTATCGTGAAAATTTTGGTACAAATCCAGATCACGCACGAAATTCTTTGACTAATTGTGGAATAAGACAACCAGAATATGGTGATCGTCGGATACATTACATGAATACTCGGAAACGTGGTATTAATACATTAATTAATATAATGTCAAGATTTGGTGCAAGAACTGAAACTGAATCTTCAATAGCGCATAACGAAAGATTGGAATTCTTAGGAGATGCAGTAGTAGAATTTCTCACATCAATTCATTTATTTCATATGTTTCCTGATCTAGAAGAAGGTGGTTTGGCTACTTATAGAGCAGCAATTGTTCAAAATCAGCACCTTGCTGTATTAGCAAAGAAATTAAATTTAGAGGAATATATGCTCTATGCACATGGAAGTGATCTCTGTCACGATTTAGAATTGCGACATGCAATGGCAAATTGTTTTGAGGCATTAATGGGTTCATTATTTCTTGATGGTGGCATAGAAGTTGCCGATAGAGTTTTTGGTGAAACACTTTTTAAAGACGAAGATGATCTTGCAAAAGTTTGGGTAAATTATCCAAAACATCCTCTGCAAGAGCAGGAACCAACAGGTGATAGGCAATGGATACCAAGTTTTGAACTACTACAAGTAAGTATATATATAAGAAATATTTCACATTTATTGTGTTAACAAGTTTTATTTGATTTCTAGAAATTAACAAAATTTGAAGAATCCATTGGTATAGAATTTACTCATATTCGTCTCTTGGCTAGAGCATTTACTGATCGCAGTATAGGGTATACGAATTTAACATTGGGCTCTAATCAACGTTTAGAATTTTTAGGAGATACTGTATTACAATTGATAGTTTCTGAATATTTGTACAAATATTTTCCAGAGCATCATGAAGGTCATTTATCTGTAAGTAGTATTATAATTTTTTTCATAAAAACATGATGATATATATCTTGTATTTTACAGTTATTACGAAGTTCTCTGGTAAATAATAAAACTCAAGCTGTAGTATGTGACGATTTGGGGATGACTCAATATGCACTCTATGGTAATCCAAAGGCTGAATTGAAAACAAAAGACAGAGCAGATTTATTGGAAGCGTTTTTAGGAGCTCTTTATGTTGATAAGGGTCTAGAATATTGTCGCGTTTTTTGTGATGTATGCTTCTTTCCACGTTTGCAAGATTTTATTATGAATCAAGATTGGAATGATCCAAAGAGTAAATTGCAACAATGTTGTTTAACATTAAGAACAATGGATGGCGGAGAGCCTGATATTCCTGTATACAAGTAAATTTAGACCACATGAGTTTAAACATGTTTATATATATATAAAATTATGAAAAAATTGATTTGATTTTCTTTCCAGAGTGATTGAATGTAAAGGACCAACAAATACAAGAGTTTATACTGTTGCTGTATACTTTCAAGGAAAACGATTAGCAAAGGCATCTGGTCATAGTATTCAAGAAGCAGAGATGAACTCAGCAAAAGAAGCTTTAGAAAAATCTCAAGGTATCAAATTAAATATTTAAAATGAAATTTGAAAATATATATTTTGTACTTTATTATATTCATTTTTTACAGATTTGTTTCCACAACTAGATCATCAAAAACGGGTAATAGCAAAGAGTATGAAAATGCAACAATGGCCAACTAAACATAAAACGAGGGGAAAGTCTATGAAACCTACAGATAGGCATGATGATTCAGATTCCAGTCCACGATCTAAGAGAAGTCGTAGTGAAGCATAGATGTGCTAGGTTATTATTTTGTATTGAAAGTATGTTTGACGAGTTTATAATTGATAACAATATCAATTATCATAAAGGTTATAAGTAATTATTAAAATAAATGCTATTATAATATAAGAAATAATAAATATGTTTATTTAATATTTAGTTATTCAATGGTATCTATGTAATTGTTAGGTTCTATTAATGCAGGATTTTTTTGATGTAATATATGCTCATTCTGATTTATGACATTTTGACACATTTGTATGTTGGTTACAATGTTCTGTAAAGTCCAGTGCTTTGTTAACAGTGCATGCTTTATATTAAATAAACCATCTTGTATACAAAGTACTTGAGTACAAGTAGCATTACTACGCAGCTTTAGTCCTAGATCATGAATTGTGGCTTTTAAATACAAATCAGTTTCATTTGTACAAACAACTTCTGCAACATTATAAGAAGTATAAAATGCAATTTTTTTATAAATTTCGTTATTGCTTCAAAAAATATTCATATATTTACCTAACATAAATTCTGGAGGTGAAAAGTCTACACATTTAACTGTGTATATCATAGGGATATTAGAATCTGTTGGTCTAAGTAGACCTTTAACTGCTAATTCATATGCAGCTTGGCTCTGAATATCTACACCACACAATCTGTAAATATATAAAAATATAACAACAGCGCTTGCTTGCATCATATATGATTGTTCTTAAATGCAATAAATTTGAACATACTCAAACATTTTTCTTTGATGTGTAGATTGCATCGAGCTACATAACTTATCAATGTGACCACGTCTCACATGTGCATATGTAGATTTTTCTACTACTTTCCCAGTATGAAAATAATTATCTGTTGCTTCTCCTAATAATCCCTTTATCTTGTAGAACCTTAAACTTTGAGATGTTTTTATTTTATGTATCAACTGATTACCCGCATTGATTCCACAAACCAAAACGCCGGACACATCTTTCTGCATAATTTTTGTAGCTCCCATTCTAAAGTCGTTTGGTTGATAACGAGGTCCTATTACTAATGGGTGATCAGCAAGGCTATTTCGAACAACAACTTTCATAGGTTTATTGGTTTCTCCTTCAATAGCTACATGTTTCATTGGTGGTCTTGTATGCATATCATTTAATTCTAAAAGCAATAGTTTCTATTTTAGTAAATTGGTTAAATTTTATCAAAATGAAAAAGAAATATTTCATAAATAAAGAATATATTATGAACCTCTGCATAAGTTGCTGATCACTGTTTCTCTTACATTGTTGAAATGTAAAACTGGAGGTTTATACAACACAACTACACCATTTAGTGCTTTGTATATTACTCTTGCATCATCAACGTATTTAGTTACTGTTCTTATTGCTGACATGTTAAATTTTTAACTATTATATAAAATAGCACTTATTTTTACTTCAATACTAACACAAACCAACACAAACCATGAATCATTTACTTTTTATGTGTTTGTTTCATGTTTTTATTCTGTATTTAAAGTCTAGACGCATTATTGCACACAATGTTTGTACATACTTGCACGTGAGTTGTGATCACACGTGATTAATTTATACTATCTGTCTCTGTTTAGTGTTTGAAATACAACAAGGACATCTATCGTGTGATTTTATAAATGGCTGTTAGTTTGAAGAATTTTGGAGTGTTCGGTAGTCGGCATTTTATTTTTAAAGGTATTTATAGAAAAATACATAACAGCATTTGTTTTTGAATACTGTAAAGAAATATTTAAGAAATGATTAATATGAATAATTATATATGATTTAAATATTTTTTTCATATACTTATCCAGTAGAATGTAGATAATAAACTAACTTGATGGTAGGTTATGTTGCATATGATACTCTTTTTTTTAGCGGTATTTTCAAATAGTAGACAGCTTGTCACGATGTCTGAATCACTGAATAAAGTACCTGATGTGGATATCGACGGCCATGGAAGATTTAAATATATTTTGATCAACGTTTACGACGAACCCAATAATATCAGCAAATCCATTGTCAGAGGTTATGCTAGAGCTCAGTGGCACTGTGAGTAATTACCATAAAATGTTTCTGATTTTTCATTGTTATATTTTTACATTAAAACTGTGCTTTCCGTTTAAAATATTATTACGTGAAATATTCTTTATGTATATATAAAAAGGAGAAAGCTACAAGATATATAAATATTTTACACAAAAATGTTAGAAGGTGTTTATAGACTAAAGTTTCTACGTATATTCTTATATAATCATATTCACATAATTTATTATTTACATTAATAACAATTTGTACAATTTTACATACACATATGTTTTACATGTACAATAAAATCCATAAATCAGGCATGAATTATTATAAAACATGCCTCCGGATTGAATTATTCTACCAAGGTACAGTAACATTTGTGATTTTTTTTAAAATTCGTTTAACTACGTAGGACATTCATTTCACGATTAATAAAAGACATCACGAGATAATGCCGAGACATTTTCTGTCTAAAAAAATAGATTTGAGATGTTGGATCTTTAGCGATGATTGATTTTGATAAGTGCATAGATGAATTATTTTGACACAGTGTGTCGTTTAGTAGTTGTATCGTTCAATAATCGTCGGTTTGCGTATAATCAGCAGGGCAGTACGATTTCCATTTGTAGTAGTAACAGCATTAGGTAGGAACTGCATGAATCGTAGTGGATTCTTAACCCCTTGCCTTATGATTTTCTTACCAAACTTTTTAGATAATCATGAATTATTATAATTGTAACATCGCATTAGATGTAAAGTATTGAAACGTTTTCTGTGAACTTGTACTTTCTAATTTTCAAATTAGATTTAAATGCAAAATTCTAATTCGAATTGCGTGGCACTTTTTTTCAAACTGAGACTATAATTCATACCGATATTTCTGACTCGATATTTCAAAGTAAAGCAAGAAGTTAATGACCAAACTCGTCTCTGATTATGAGTCGATCTCACTGTATCTATAATATAGTTTCGACAATTAAGCATCACGTTATTACATTCGTCACGCTTTATTGATACCAATTAAATTTTTATAAATCTTTCTTCTCGCGATATATGTATACAGGATGTTTATGGATTTATTAGTCCATTCTTCTCATAAGCGATAAATATGAAAAAGGAAACATCAGTATTTTTTTTTGTTAGCAGTATGATAATTTATGAAATTTTTTTGTATTTGCAGCATTTTTTTTTAGTGAAAGTGAAAGTTTAAGTTTTTAAACAGAATGCTACATATTTTTTTACATCAAGCGTATTTCAAGAGGATTATAATGATGTAACATACAATGACCTTGAAAAAATGAAAGAAAAATTTTGAACATTTCGTTATACTCACATTCTTAATATATAAGAAATGTATTCATAAAATATTCAAACTTTTTTTCTTGATTCTGATCTTGTATGATCTCGAAAATCATTTTATGGCAGACAATTGAATTCTTCTTGATTCACGCTCTTATACATATAATATATAAAAATATGTAGCGCCCTACTTAAAAAATTGAAGATTACTTTCATTTTAAAAAATTTGGTGCAAATACAAAAATATTTCATCACAGTATTACTTTTTTCTGTTTCATTTGTTTCTCATACTTACGGTTTATAAGAAAAACGCTGATTAATAAATTCGCGAGCTACCTGTATACACGATGTTCGTGGAAGAAAAAATAAAACAATACCCAAGTACTTAAAATTTAATGAACTAGTTTCACATTCGAATGACACCGCTCATCGAAACTTCAATCGTCAATTATTAATTACTAAGAGATAATAATTCTTTTTCCAGAGTTAGAATGAAAACATTGTGATCGACAATTTCGTTAAACGATCCTTCCCTTTTCGCGTTACTAAGAAGCTCTTCTAAAGCAACACCAAGCTCTCTGTATGTCGAAACCCAGTTTACAGTGTTTGTGATTCGAAGTTTTCATGTTTCTCGCGCCACTGTTATTCTTCGTCGATGTTCGTGACGACGCGTCGGTTGTTTCCACCTGGTCTCAGGTGCTGTCACTCTCCTCGTAATGTTCTATGAGATCAACGTCAATGTCTTTGGACTCTTTTAGCTTCTCCTTAATCGGCTCCAATTTGATCCCCTTGTACTTATGCCCTTTATCTTCCTGCAGATTCTCTGTGATCTCTTCGCTCGTTTTCCCCAAAACTTTTGGTTCTCTGACTGGCGATGGAAAGCCTGCTAAATCCGGATCCGTATTGCTGTGCATTAACGTGAACGGCAGCTTGAGGGACACTTCTCCGCCCATTGTCGAGATTAATAGCTTTACCTGCAAAAATGTTAGGATAAATAATCGAAGCGAACTGATCTGATTTATTCAAATTCAAATTAAATTTTGCTTCATTCCCTAAATGAGCTGTTCAAAAATCGCATTAATCTCAACTCCACAAATTGAAAAGCAGGGAAAGGCGATGATGGTTGCAAACTATTATTTTAGTTTTAAACTTGATTTAATTTTAAATTTAAATCTTGAATTTATCTTGGAATTCGCTAAGAAAATAAAGAAAATACACTACACTTTGAAGCTGCACAAAGGATTTTAATTTTCGATGAGAAATCATTCATATTCAAATTATTATTGCAATTTCTTGAGAATGAATTAAATAACATTCTGCCTGGACTCATTTTAAAGTGAAAGAAATCCTTCATTTCATTTATAAATTGTTTTCATTAATAATATCCCTCCGTTTGTTAAGATAATTTACCTTCACATAGTAGGAAACATATATGGCAAAAACGTTTCTGTCCTCTGGACCGTTTCCAGGGCAAACGACGGTCGAGGCCAGTGTCGCTTCCCCTTTCGTGTAACTATCTTCCAAAGCAATCCAATTTTTTGTCGAGCCTTTAATCGGTCGAAGCGTGTAGCTTCTCTTTAGCGATGCTCCAGGGCCTATAGGACATCCTTCTTGCGAGGACAGCAAAGCCACCACGTTCTTGAATTTACCATTACTGAACATGCACACGTCCACGTGTTGCACGATGAAGACCTGCGAAACGATCGATAGCATTGGCCGTGAGAATCGTGTTAAAATTCCATAAAAAGAAAATGTGGGTATCGTAGAAAAATTCTCTTTTTTCAGCAATATCTGGAATTTTAAGATCTCTGTTAACTTCACGAGATATTTTCATACAACATGGAGGACCGTGCAAGTTAAATCTTACAACAGAGGAATGTAATATCGGACGAGACGCTTTGAGGAAAGAATCTCTGTTTTTGTTGCTTGGTTTTCGTATCATTTCGAGCAAAGCTTTGTGTTGAATTCGAAACAGAGGGAAGGTTTTAATCGCGATGCTAATCTGGCAAAGAGATTGGTATTTGCCAACTGAAGAACAAACGCGACTATGTGTTGCGAGTTCTGGCCTGTGTGTCAGTCTGTTTGTCAAACTTGTCGGAACGAAGTTAACATAGCAAACCTATTCGGAATTCGTACACTAGTCACCGTACTATCGAACCTGTCTGTTTCTCGTTTTCAAACAATGTTCGTCACACTCGCTAATGAACAGTGGCGCAAAGGCAATTGACACGAGCGTGGTCGCTTTATGCTACCAGCTCCTTTTGTTGTCCGAGGGAATTTACTAATCATTCACATTCTGTCTATTATTTCTCATCGTTTTAAAAAATTCCTGACTTCTTTCATAACTTTCTTTTTTTCCCTCTGTTCTTTTATGTAATTGAAATATACGCGAAAAATATGGTATGATATTAATTCGGCGGAACAAGATATTGTTTAGAAGTCTCGATAGAACACATCGCACTTGAATATTGCTTTCTTTAATCGTCGAACAGTGCCGTTAGGTTATACTATATAATTTATGTTGTATTGTTAAAATTTAGAATGTGAAATTTATTTTGTGTTCTCTATGAGTACAAAATTTTATAGAATTTTGTACAATGAATATTATACGATACCGATTAAATTAACCTTTTGATGCAAGAGATAAATTTTATTTTAGGCTCGTTATTAGCCTTTATCATTTCTGTTATCTTACATTTCCGTGTTGGAGCCATTCGTTTTACTGGAATTCTAATGTCTCTCAGTACGCAGCTCGACGTTTTTATCGTACCTCAATCCTGAAACGTTCGTTATCTTTCTATTCAAATTACAGTGCTATATTCGATACACGAATTTTAATCGAAGGCGCAAAAGAGCAAATTTAAAATGCAGTTTTTAAAATAATCTTCGTTTAATATTTATTTATACACAAGTAACGTCCTTTTATCGTGTATTTTTGAACGAGTAGTTGAGAACTTGAACTTTCTTCGCGATACGAAGTAAATTAAACGCCAACACTCATTAAAGCATGAGTCAGTATTTAGTTTCGAGTCAGAATATTTCCGAGTTCCTTTCTCAAATATGATACGCAGTTGAATTACGCATGCGTACCCTACGAATGAAATTTTACCCGGATTAATATTCTCCGAGCCATGTTACTATGCACGAACCATTAGTGTTTCCTGCGAAACTGTCCAGCCGTACGTAATGAAAATGATCATTGCTCTGAAAATATAGTATCCCTCGTGCTTTTAAATTTTGTATAAATTCCCCTATTATTTGGAAATTTCGTTTCAGAATGTTGCATAAATGATGGTGATTTCACGTAAAAAAATAAGTCGGTAGAGAGAGAGAGAGAGAGAGAGAGAGAGAGAGAGAGAGAGAGAGAGAGAGAGAAGAATAAAATTGTTTCATTTAAGACTTTGTTTTTTTTCGAGAAAATCGAGGTCGAAAATTCGTCAATTTTGTCAACGATAGGTTATTCTGCCTGCGAAAATAAGTCAAAAATGTGGAATACAATTTTTTCATGAGACGTTTCGTTTTCGAAAAAGATATTGAACGAGATTTGAACATCTCCATGAAGCCAATTCTTAAGTATTTAAAGTCTGTTTTCTTGAGAACGAGTTTGAGACGGAAAAATTTTATTCTATTGAATGGTTGGATAAACTTTTTTAATTGTCTAATATGTTGTCACGGTCAGTTGTTAGAAAGCTTAGATTTGAGACAATTGTTCATTATCGTAATAAATTAGTTAGAAGTTAAATTTTAACGTAAACGGGAATAAGGAATAATAAGTATTCATATTTTTTATTTTAATGGGGAAAAAATGCCATACAAACTCAACATCCGCTGCAAAATATTGGTTCTGTCGTTTTAAAGATAGAAATTTTGATGTCCACGATGCTCCTTTATCTGGTTGGCCTTCTGATATACGTACAAATCGTATTGCGACTGTAAAGATCATTTACAATTAGACATATTTTTTTGCTTAATAAAAAAACCAAAAATTTTATACAGATATAATAATAATAAATATAATAGGAATATAATGGCACTGTCCAGTAGATGACAGAAAATTATCGTACGGGTGCACATTTAGCTTAATTTTGTTATTGTAAAGCATCGGAATAAAGTAGAATTTATATTAAATATGATTTACTCCACAATTCGTTTTTCGCTTATTTTCGCAGGCAGTATAACTCTTCTCGCTTAATATTAATTCAAATTAGCCAAATTTAAGCATTTATACTTGAAACATTTTCAAACGCGATTTTTTTGAAAATCAAGCCTTAAATGAAAAAATTTATGCGACACATTGTGTATTTCTGCTTAATGCTAATTAATGATAATGAATTTAGTTGTTTTTTTGAGAATTTTATTTTAATTTGATCATTTATTTGCGCGTTGAGTGAAACGGTGAAGCACAGTAGAGTAAGTAATCGCCTAGTCAGACGCATCGTTCATACATTGCTCTGTGGTTTGATTTTCGATTGTACAAATTTTTCCCCGGTTTATTAATGAAAATAATTAAATATTTTATAACAAAAAAGCATCTTACAACGCAAATGCATGTCAAATATACTTTTTATAGATTATATACATATTTCAGTATACGGAGCATTGGAACAAACTATATAATCTAAATGGTTAAAGATAGAAAAAATTAAATGGTATTCAACGAATTTGAAAGTGATTAGATATATGTACATTTTTATGCATTGATGCATAAAATAGTGTGTAAATGCTCCATGACATCCGCAAATATAGTTGAAATAATTTAGCAAATTTTCAACTTTAAGAACTTTTGAAATTTAGTTTAGTTTAATGTGTTAACTAATTAAAAAACTATATCGATTGTATTTGTTTAAAAGAAAGATGCAATTGCACACATTCACACGTACATTTTCCACATTATGTTTCATCGAGTATTACTTAATTTTGATTTATAATATTTTCCATTTTGTAATATTTTTGATTTATATTCGTTTGGAATGTAATACATGTAACAGTTCGTTCCAGTGATATATTCTGTGATATAGGAATCGTCAAAGATATATTGGAATTAATTATTTCGAAAAGTGTTTCATACATAAATTGGATGATTTCGAGGGTGAAGTAGATTGCGTATTCTGCGAATGAAATTTTGCCCCGATTAATATTTTCCCAACTGTAAATGTTACTATTCACGAACCATTAATGTTTCATGCGAAACCGTCCAGGCGTACATAATGAAAATGATTGAAAGCATAGCATACCACGAATGTCTTTCAAATTTCCCTATTTGTTTTACTATGCGTAGAAAAGTGTTAATTTTTGTCAAAATTAGTTTAGCAAATATTTTAATTTTAATCTTCTACAATCTATCATACAACATTGTCCTTGTTTGCATTATTCCGCTTTCCGCTTTTTCTTGTTTTATATATAAAACTTTGTATTAAACTATTATATATAAAACTTTGTAAGTATTAAACTATTAGGTTTGCGACATAAGTAGATTTGTACTTTTTTTTACATTAAACTTAAAAAAAGTAAAATTGATTTTTATCGCAATTTTCTGCAATAATTAAAAATTATTAAATTATATTAAATTCTACCTCGAAATGGAACAAATCTTCTTTCAAACATTTTTTCGATATAATTAACAGTTCTGAAAATATTAGATGACTCTTATCTAGTGTATAGATATCATAGCTTTCAAATATATCAAAGTTCAGAACTGAAATACTCATATAAATCGAAAATAAAGAAATTAGTCTTTACATAAATGTAATGAACATGTTGACTGCCACGTGTAATTTAAATGTTTTGTTTGATGAGACAAAATACCTAATTTCTATAAAATATTATAAAGTGCTAGTTATTATATAATATTATATTAAGATATTTTAAGATATTATATTATAATAAAGTATATTACAAAGCGTATTTTTCGGTTTATAATATTATCTAATTATGCATGTTGTTTAAAATTCTTCGTTAATGATATTTATTTTATTTTAATGATTCCAAAATAACAATTCCAAATTTGTCATAAAATTATAAAATATTTATAGAAATAGAAACGTCAGAAATGATTGGAAATAGAATAATTAGATTTGGTGTCATCTTATTATAAATAGAACAAAGTCAATAAGTGAATGTTGTTTCAATGACTGAATATCACGGAACGAATAAAGTTCTATTTATATACTATCGACGATTCGTGCACGATCTAACAGAATAAATGCATCGTCGAAGCACGTGTAGGTAACATTTTATTATTATTTCTAATTATTCATTAATATATAATATATGTCAAAGTTTAATGAACGGATTCGTTCTGCTCGATTGCATCATCATTTGAAAAAAATTACAAAATCATGGCAACGAGCCTCGTGCTCGATTTGTTGGCAACGACTCGTTCGGTCCTCACAACGAGTTCATATTATTGGAAACTGGAAATTAAACAAAAACTTTTGCATCGTGATTCAGTAATTGATTGTACAGAAAAAGCTCTCCTTTACGATTGGTTTAAATTGATATTTCATTTCCTTTTTGTATGATTCTCATTTTCTAATGCAGCAGCTATCGCAGTTAAATCAACACGGTGATTTCTTTCGTTATCATCACGCATTTATAGGAAATCTTTTTTTTATCATTTTAGCATTTATAGGAAAGTATGAAGTTGCATAGAATGCAAGTAATAAGCTGTATAAAATACTCGAGGTATAAATACTTTTTATAATGTGTGAGATGCGTGAAACAATTTTCCATCGAGAGTCTGTTTTTTAAAGATATAAACGCTTCATAAAAGTCTTTATAAATTTTTTTAATCTTAATTGTAATGATCAGCATTTCTTATAATCAAATACTCACATGCTAAAAATAAATAAATAAAACAATAATAAAACATTATCAATATGTACTTCGTTCTGCTCGGCTCATGCCGATACGGTTCGTCGATAGTACAAAATGGACCTTAATTGGTTTTCATTCTGCATTTTGTTTCATCACCGACAAATGTGATCTTATTAAAATCGGTTAGCGTCACGCACGTAAACAGGACACGAGGGATGATTTATCAAACATAGTAATAGATTATTTGTGATTGTAATTTGCGCGGTTAAGGACGAGGGATAAATCGTAAATTGCTTCTCGAATCGGACAATCAGCCTCTTGTTAGCATTTTAATCTCTTCTCGCTATCTAGTTCATACATTATTCAATCAGTCGCGTAGCTTACCTTGATCCTCCTTACAGTTTTACTGCTGTTGTTATTGATGTTGACGTGAACGGTGATTGAATCTCCGTGAGCGTAGAACGCCTGGTCTAATCGTGCTTCCAAACTCACCCGACCGTCGCTTAATAAGAACGGTTTCTCCACTGTAGCGTGTGGCCCTGCGTTCTCTGAGAACAGAGAGTTAAGAAATGTAAGAAGTTAGAATGAATATATGAAGTCTGACGTGACTGGGAGATAATTCCTTCGTGGAAAAATAAGAAAAAATCATCTTATTTAAAACCCGTCTTCGAGTCTTCGTTCGAAGATTTATCAAGTTCACTTGAATATAATTAATTTTGAACGCGATAGAAAAAAATAATTAGCAGGTTATCCTTACAGGAAGAAGTAAGTAAATAATATAGAATAAGATCTTCGAAGCTTCATTTCCAAAAACATAACCTGATAAATGCGCCAAGTAAATTGTAGACTTTGAACGTATTTTATTGAATAACTTGATAAACTTTACATTTTCAAAAAATGGAGATCCTTTTTATCTTTAATTTTTGTATTTAACTATAGATATTGGTATTTGGATGTTGCGTAAAAACTTTCTTAAACAAAATTGAAAAAAAAAAAAACAAAATGGAAGTTTCTTCATACAGTGGTCTTCAACTGTTGATAGTGTATCAAAGACACGTTGTTTCACGAGATAAAGTGCTCACCCTCGTCCTCTGCGATTTCATTCTCCATGAACGAGACCCTTGTTTTACAAGCCTGGCCTCTGAATCCAGGAGAAGGACTCGCTGACACTGGCACGCTGTGCGTGTTGGTAGCTGGCAGCGGCGGCTTCGTGGTTCGCTGGATGACACGGATGCCCATCCTGACGGTCGTTCTCCGATGCAGCTTCTCATCCGCGCGATCAGCTAAATATATCATCATATTGTCTAGAGAGCGTTTGGTCGGGTTACGATGATATTTATGGAATATTTGGGCATGCAGAGGCAAATGTCAGACCAGACGAAGGTTGCTCTTTCAGGTAATGGAAATTTAAAACGATCGTTCATTCGTCCAATCATACGAACCAGGGAAATGCGAAAATGCGAAAAGGGCGAGACGCGATTTAATTTACGACGGGTGGGCGTAATACGCCGTTACGGGATTTCGAATCGACAATTTCTACGCAAGCGGATAGAGATATGTAATCATGTATGTATCGTATTAGCCTCTTCGTTCATTTTTCAACCGATCTGGAAGATCGATGGCGAAATAAATGTACCTTTCACATTTATCCCTTTCTACGATATCATTTCGTTGTAATAATATATACTTCGCTGAACTTTCGTATCAAAACACGGAGTGAAAATGATGAAATGCTGAATGAGAAAGATGCGCGTGTATCGTCGAATATATGAATTTTGAAATTATATTCTGGAAAATGGAAAGTGGGCGTAGCAATCTATCTATTTTCGTTTGTTTAATCATAAAGATTCAGTCAGATTTTGTTCGTGTAAATGAAGATCGAATCAGTCAGTTTACTCACCTACGTAAGCTCTGACGTCGTAGCTGGTACCAATGGGTGCGCCATTGTACTCCTTCGCAGGCACCAACTGCACCGATGGGGGTGCTAACGGCGTGATCTCCATGGTGAACGCGTGAGCATTTGGACCTAATCTCTTCATTAACGCCTCCTGCAATAGAAAATCGAGACGTTCTCACCTTTTCATCCCGATTCTCTCCATTGTTTCATTAAGGGATGATTGAAATAAGAGCGGGGATAGAACAAAGTTGTTAGCATCTGGAAATTAGTTGTAGATTTGAAACATAAATGAGAACTTTGAGTTTGACGTTTTACTTATTGTTTATATTATTATATTATATTAATATATTATATATAATTATATTATAATATACTATTGTATATATTATATATATATTATAATAATATATATAATTATATATATTAAATTAATAATTAATATTATTATATTAAATTTTTCTATATTATATTCTTTATCTATATTATATTACATAAATGTACACATAATATATTTATAATGTGTTATATTATTAAATTCTCTACAATATATGTATTATAGAGAATCTATAATATAATATACCTACCAATTCTACAGAATTTAATATATTATATATATTATAATATATTATATATTATATTAAATTAATAATTAATATATTTATATTAAATTTTAAATTAATATTTTTTATAATTAATAATTAATATTTATTATATTAAATTTTTCTATATTGTATTACATAAATATATACATAATATATTTATAATGTGTTATATTATTAAATTCTCTACAATATACGTATTATAGAGAATCTATAATATAATATACCTACCAATTGTACAGAATTTAATATATTATATATTAATATAATAATATATATAAATATATATATTAAATTAATAATTAATATTATTATATTAAATTTTTCTATAATATATTACATTCTTTATCTATATTGTATTACATAAATATATACGTAATATATTTATAATGTGTTATATTATTAAATTCTCTACAATGTACGTATTATAGAGAATCTATAATATAATATACCTTCCAATTGTACAGAATTTAATATATTATATATTAATATAATAATATATATAAATATATATATTAAATTAATAATTAATATTATTATATTAAATTTTTCTATAATATATTACATTCTTTATCTATATTGTATTACATAAATATATACGTAATATATTTATAATGTGTTATATTATTAAATTCTCTACAATATACGTATTATAGAGAATCTACAATATAATATACCTACTAATTGTACAGAATTTAATATATTATATATTATTAGTAATACGTTTGAGGAACGATCAATGATTTTAACCGAGAGTGTGCTTTTTAATCTTTAAAAAAGTAGTTGTTACGAGATGCAAAACTTGAATTCAATATATCATGAAAGGCGTGAGGAATATTTTAGAATATCTTGTGAAACTCTGAACAATCGATAATGTTTTAAGATTGTATTTCGAACTTCTTTGAAGTATGATTACCGCGAACTTTATAGGATAGAAACTGGAAATTATCAACCATAAATCATTGCGTGGCGTACGGATCACAGGTGATAAGCCTCGATATTATCAGGATCGTTAGTCTAATGATTTTACACGTGATAATGTTCTATTCGGGGATCCACAGATCATTCAGTTCTCATTTGGAGAGATCGAACGCGGCTTACGTTGGCGCGATACGGTTGATCGCTTCATTGCACGATGATAGATTAAGCCCCAGAAATTTGCGCTGCTCGCACGATCGATAAAGGGTTTACCGGACAAATTACCGACGTACATTACGCTCGTCTTCGACGGATGTCAATTAATAGAGATTTCGAGGTTTACGTGACACGTAAGCTCCAGGGTTTTCACACATCACACGTATGCGTGATGATATTTTTTGCTTCTCAGAATAGAACTGAATCTGCGCGAGATACATACTTTACTGTAATCAGAGTCTACAATTCAACGAACCTGACGAAGTCAAACTATGAAATGAAGTTTAACTGGTTCGCTGAAGCATTTTGCGAATGTGACGAATGTGACACGCGTTATGAATAATTCTGCGCGCTACATTCTCCTTTTTGCAGGGAAAGAAGCTTGTCCGAAGGTTTATCACGGTTAGGTGTTGAGCATTGTCGAGGTATGCCATTGTTATTCGGCGTAAAAAGTTTCAATGGATATTCCTGCTTAAAAGACTGCATTCATTCGTATCAGGAACGAAGCCTCGCAACTAGACCATCTTCGTTTAATAAATAATAATGAATTCTGTTGCGACCAATCTATTGGAAGACGAAGGCCGGACAAACTGCGAAATATTCTGAATGGAGATGAACTGGTTCACTAAGAACATCAATTACATTCAAAGTTAGGTTCTATTCTGTGTCGTTGATGCTCTTTGAAGAAACATTCGGCTGCCGTTTCATTTTTAAAGTACTGAGCAAAAGAATGCAAAACAATTTTTACTACGGATCGAAAATAAATGACAAAAGTAGAATTAAACGCAGAAACGACGTAGAGACATTTTTATCATGAAACGCTTCGCTTTCGGAAAAATTAAACTTGAGAATTTATCAAGTAGAATTTATCAAAGTAGTTAAATAGAAAAATCGGATTCTACGTTTTTATTTATACATTCCTATTCAGTACGGTATTAAATTCAAGGATATTTGACAAAATTTCAAACTCGGTTTTCTTGAGAACGAAGTGTTACACAAAGAAATGTTATTCTTCTTTTACACTACAATTTCGAACTTTATAAATCCCTTTGTTTTTTCATTGTCTCTTTCTAAATAATCCCATCTGTATCTTACAACATTTAAATCAGCATTCTATTTGTTACTTTAACTATTTATTATATTTCTAAAAATCAGAATTTCTGACGAAACAACGTCATGTGGAAAATATCATAAAACTAGTCATCTAGAAAGTAATTACAATGAAACGTACGCGATCCAAGATAGTATTCACACAGTACTATAATGACGTCTAACGCGTCATGCATTTGAATCAGATTTCTCCTCATTCCCGGATTGTTCCTTTTTCTTTCTTTCTTCTTCTTTTTCTCTCCAGAAAGCCTTATTTAACGCCTTCTCTTTCTTTCTTTTCTTCTTTGTCCGTTTGCGCATTTTGTATGCATGATCGATGCGCCACGTAGTGGCTTTCAGCTCTATCGCATTGCCCCTTTGAAACCTGTCGGCCGTGGAATCGTAACATTTGTAGTCCACCGTGAAACCGCATTATCCCCGCGTTTTGCATCCATGCCTCGGCCATCGGGAGTAATCGTCTAACGATAATATCGCCTGAGAAATGCGTGATCAAGATCTCCTCCCGTCCCTTTCTTTTTTACTTTCTTATCTTTTTACCCTCGAACAGACATGTTCAAGAGATTGTGAACGCGATCAGAGCGGGTCGGCTGGAGGGTCAAGTAAAAATATTCATAATTTATATACGCGGACTACAATTAGACAAGGTTTGCGTCGGCAAAATTAGATAACACATTGTAGACGGGAGAATTCGCGAATTCGCGTCTTTCAACTGTTGCGAACGGGGGAACGCATTTTTGCGTTGTAGGGGACACGAACCAGGCAATGTTATATATAATTTATATGATATAATATAATATATTATAATATAATATAATATAATATAACATAACATAACATAACATAATATAATATAACATAACATAACATAACATAACATAATATAATATAATATAATATATTATAATATAATATAATATAATATAATATAATATAATATAATATAATATAATATAATATAATATAATATAATATAATATAAT